GTTGCATCTGGCACCAGACCTACACAAACATTTCACATACACATTTAATAAATAATTCATTTCATTCGTACACTTTTCTTTTAATAGTTCACAAACTTTTTCAATGGGTTTCTAGTCATCATTTTACTTCCTAGAGGGTCTAAATAAGGTTGAGAATACGTTCAGAGGGTCAGAGAGGTCAATATAAGAAAGTAGGATTTTTCTCCCCTGTTGGCTGCTCTCGCGGTAGGTCCAACCGCTCTAGCGGTCATGCTCTGCTCTTGCGGAAGTGTGAGCCGCTTGATCGTGCAGAATGCAACTCACAGATTTGTTCATGTTTTGCTCCTGCGGAGCTCGTAGCTGCATGAGCGGTCTGGGCAAAATCTAGATAATCTGAAAATGGCCCAAAATGAAATCTTCCAAACTCATTCCCAAGCCCAAATTCAAGTAAAATTAACTCAAAAACATGATATATTAGCATGATTCAAGTGTAATTTCAACTCAAACACATCAATCTTGCTTCAATATCAAATTTAAGGTCTCATCTTTTTTCATAAGTTCATGAATTACATTTTCAAGCTCAAAACACAAATAAACATGGATGATCTTTCAACAAATCTTTGTTGTATGAACAAGTTAGAGCTTATTTCATGTATTAATCACAAGATTGAGCTCAAATAAAACAAGGTTGAAGAGATTTCTTCAATTTAGTTCAAACCATTACACAACCCAAAACCCTAACTCAAATTTCCAAGTTCCTCTTGATTCCAAGTAAAAGATAAGCCATATACAAAGATTCTAAGTAGATTTCCATACCGTAGCTTCAATCTAGGGTTTGCCCCTTGAATCTCTTCCAAATCCCTAGTTTTTCCCCTTCCTCTCTCTCTAACTTAGTCTCTAGCAAAGCTCTCAACAAAATGATGAACACAAGATAGCTACGTCCATATATGCGTTAGACCAATTACACTTAATTAATCATTACGAATTGTAATTTCATAAAATTTCACAGTAGGCTCTAAAAATCATACCAAACATAGATATGAAGTCGGTTTTGGTTTTTAGTGCCTCTAAGGCTTTCAATTTCAGTTCAAAGTCATAATTGCAACAAATATTCCTTCATTCAACAGATATAATTCCAAAATCACATAATTCACATACTTAAACTTGCAAATTCATATCAAACACATAAACACATGCATATTTAAGCATAATACGAGTTGGGTTATCACAGTGAGTGGATGGGGAAGGGGGGAAGTTTAGGGTTATGATTGAATAGAAGGGTAACCTTATTTCATGTGATGATACTCTAGGCATACAAGCTTCCATTTCCTGATCCTTTAACACAAGTTAAGAATACTTTGAGTTCTAATGTTCCAAATAGAAAACAAAGAAGATATCCAACTATGGCATTTGTGTTTTCACTAGCATCGGAATCAATCAATACTACTAAAACAAAAGCAAGATCAAGTACCACCAATTTTAGTCTGACATCAAATATAAGTGCGCGTCTATTTGACCAGAAGGTCAAACATGCTATTTTTCATAAAGCTTAAAAAGGATTTTGTAATGTGAGGTATTTCAACAAACATGGTCTACAAATATGGCATTAGCTTTATGAATCAAATTATGATCCAACAAGGTCAACCACCAAGATCATACATAAACTATGGACCGACTGTATAAGGAAGGTTTGCCAAGAAATCTAGTTTGAGGTTGCAGTTTAAAATTGTGCCAAAGTAAAAGAAATAAAGATCCTGCAAAATTTCCCTAAACTCAAAAGAGTATCTATGAAGACAAAGGGAATTTTGATATATGGAGCAGTTTAAGGCTACATAAATCTGTTTGCAAAGCATGAAAATTCCATGAATCCCATTTCAATTTCAATCAAATCAAACCAATAAATAGTAGAAAATTCTATGAAGATACATATGGGCTTTCATCAAGTTGTTGCACAGAATCCGCTACCTAAAAAAAGTTGTTGCACACAAAACAGAAATTACTTTCACACAATCAATATTTTCCCTTACACACAAGTGAAACTTAGAACAAGGTCTTAAATCGAAGTAAACAATGCAACCAAACAATGCACAAGGGCTTTCAATTGAACATATATAATGGATAGTCCAGACGGGCAAAATTAAATACTTAAAACACAAACAAAATTTCTAACCTATGAAACTCATGCAAACATAAATAAATAAAGCTAAAATTTAATAAAGTCTTATCTTGGCTCTGGAAAATTCTTAGAGAGTTGTTTAGTTTTATTTGTACAAAAAAGAAAAAAAGACACCATCTATAATAACTGTAGTATGAAGTTATAAAACTAGTAAAGTTATAATCGACATCAATAACAGATTTATTGCAAAAGACAAAAACAAGAAGTTCAACGAAGAGGAAAAGAGAAAAAAAAAATACCTGCAAGAACGACTTACTCTTGCCAACACGCACCAACCAAAACCAAATCTCCTACAAAACTTAATGAACTTCACAACATAATACAACCTTTAAAAACCAATTTAAAGTCTTAACAATCATCATAGGAAAGCAAACTTAAATGTTCCAATGTGTTGTGATTCTAACTTCTAATGTTGGAAGAGCAAAGCAAGAAAGTGGCATGCCAAGGAGGTCATAAAAATATTAATGTTGGCTTTCTTCATCAGTGATATCATTGTGTTTATCCATGTGTAATTTCTTACTTTGCATGTTTTTTTTATTAATTTGGGTCACTCTAATCTCAGGTCTTAACAATGCATGAAATAGTTCATGTTCATCTAGTGGAGGTGGATATAGAAGAGACCTAAGTGCCCAACACATGATAAAAAAACACGTGAACCAATTGAAGAAAAATATTAAAAAAATTCAGAAATACTCTTTGTATTACTTTGCTAGGTAGAAATCTCATTTGAACGATTCGAAGGGAACATAGCCGCACATAAAGGAGTTCAACAAATTAAATTAAAAAAATAAAATGACATAACTTATCCTTGCCTACTGTTATCAAGAGCATGTACATAATTTCAGAAAAATTTGAGAGTGAGAAAGAGATTAGTTGATATGATGGGATTGATCACTAATCAATCCTGAAAGCTCAACAAGTGGCATGCATCATGGCTGAATCCTCTTTAAATTTGCTCATTTATAGCGGCCTGGTGATTATGGCTAAAAAATAATAGAAACTTGATCTATAACTACTTTTTTTTGGAAAACCAAGGATTTATAACCTCCATGTTAATTGAGTCTACCCTTTTCGTTGTGACTCATAGATGGGTCAAGGAGTGCACCTCATGGGTTGACTCACCTGTTAATGGATACCATGGGTTAACACCTGTCGGCCTATCCTTCTTTTGAAATTCAGTGCCACGTGGCAGTTTCCTATGCCAAATAGGATACAAACATATTCATTTTCATGAGAGGAGATTTGGTTTGATAAAAAAAAAATGGAGTTTCTGGTGGCTGGTTTTCATTTTGGAGATAGAATTTGCTACAAAAGTTATGGCTATAGATGGAGAGATTATGATAGGTGTATGGCGCTGAGGGTAGTGTGACTTGGTTCTGTAATGATTGAACTGCAAAAATGGGGTCTTCCATTAGAAAAATAGAGTTTTTAGACACTCCATTAGAAAAATGGAGTTCACTCACCCTCAACTTCTGTGCAAGAGACTATGCAAACAATTATGGATCAAGCAAAGTGAAATGAACAACTGGAAGATATGATGGCTAAGAACGAGCACTTGCTTAAGGAATTGGCCCTGGAGCTAGCCAAATCCCAGCAAGCCGCATGCCATGATTGGGGTCGATTCCCAGAAAAGAAGGATGATCGACGACGTCAACCTCAGAAACATGATAATGGCAGTGATTCTGACTCACCATCTCAGGAACCCAAAAAGAAGGAATGAGTCGATGTATCCAGCTCATATGAAGGAAGTCCATACGTACGGTACAGGCAAGGGAAATGAAATGATGATTCAAAAGAAGAAGACAGGCATGACCCTTTCGTATGCCACATTGCACGGGTTGTGCTGCCTAAAAAGTTCAAAGCACCAACGTTCACCCTTTATGACAAAAAATCATATCCCACTGACCATATTCGTCATTATAAGCAAACGATGATGTTGCATGCTGATGATGAAGCCCTCATGTGTCGAATGTTTCCAAGTATCCTGGGACCGTTGGCTATTACAAGGTACTATAAGCTGGAGCCGTTGTCAATAAAAAGCTTTCATCAACTCCAAAAATCCTTCAGGGCAAGATTTATCACCAACGAAGTTCAGCCAAAGCAAGCCGACTCTCTCTGGGCAATGCAAATTAAACCGGAAGAGACCCTCCGTGAGTATTCGACACACTATTGGAAATGTTTCAACCTGGTGGATGATGCCTGCAATGATTCCATGGCCATTACCGCCTTTAAAATGAGATTATATCTTGATAGTCCTCTTCGTAGTTCATTGACCGGACGGCCTCCCAAAACAGTTTGGGTGCTAATGAAGAAAGTTGAAGAATATTGTAAGGTGGAAGACGATGCCCTGTGCGTCAAGGCCAGACAGAAAGTTGTTAAGTCGGTTATATTTGTTCTAGTTCAGCCGATAAGCGTCGTGCCATCAAGGAGCCCCGAACCTCCGACTCAGGCTAAGCGAGACCAAAGGTGTGATTTGCGCCGTTCAAGCGATCAGTGTTCACGCCGATCAAATGAACAATATCAAGTGGATAGCAGGCGCATAAGACATTCGGACAAGAAGTATATGAAATTGGCAGAGCCGATCAGTAAGATCTTGTCCAAAGTTCAACATCTTCTGTTCTTTAAATGACCGTCCAAAATGATGGGGCCTCCTGATACAAGGAGAAGGGATAAACGGTGCGAATATCACAAGGACCACGGGCACGATACCGACAGCTGTTACGCGCTGAAGGACCACCTAGAGGAATTGGTACAAGATGGTCAGCTGGCCCAACACGTTTGAAAGAACAATCCATCGAACACGGTAGCCCTACAGCCGGATTCACCTCCACTTGGTGTAATTCGCATGATATACTACCTATCGCCATCAGCCGAGGTACATAAAATTCAGTTGCAACCTAGCCTGCCCAAGCCATTCACACCAGCCAAACGACCCCATGAAACTAGGAGGATTAGCTTCGATGACACCAATCTAAATGGAGTAACTCTCCCCCACGCCGATCCACTCATTGTTGAGCTACGCGTGAATGAGTTCACTGTTGAGCGTGTTCTCATCAATCAGGGAAGCACCTTGGAAATAATGCATTACAAGACGTTTGTTAAACTCAACTTCACTGATTCAGATTTGTTGTCGGCTGATTACCTAGGCTTCAATGCCAACCCTGAGTATCCCTTGGGTAAGATCACACTACCAGTACGGGCGAGAACCAGATCAGTAGATATAGAATTTCTGGTCATCAAACTCCCGTCACCACACAATCTCATCATGGGAAGGACTTGGTTGCATACCATACAGGTTGTGCCGAGCACCTACCATCAACTACTCCGCTTTCTAATTGAGTATGACATTGAGCATATTCAGGGTTCTCAGAAACTGGCATAGGCATGTTATCTTATTGCTACTGCAAAGAGGCCAACGGAACTGGAAGTGAACTCGATTGAAGTACCAGATCGAGAGAGCCTGAGGACATTGGGAAAATCCCCAATGAAAAGGCAACTGAAGACCTTGATCGGATCGAAATCAATGGGAGTCCTGATAAATTCTTCATGATCGGCACCTCCTTGAGTGAAGTTGATAGACGCGAATTGGTATCCTTCTTACTCAGCAACCTCAATGTGTTTGCATAGACACCATATAAGATAACGGGGGTGGACCCAGTTGTGGCCCAGCACCATTTAAACGTTGACCTAAAATTCAAACCAATCATTCAGAAAAGTCGGCGGTCAGCCATGGAGCATGCATCGGCCGTTATTTAAAGAAGTTGATAGATTGCTTGATGCTGTGACGATTCGCGAAGTAACCTACCCCACTTGGATCTCCAATACCGTGGTTGTAAAAAAGAAAAATGGATCTTGGCGGGTCCGTATGGAGTTCACGGACTTAAATAAAGCTTGTCTTAAAGATTGTTTTCCTCTTCCTATAATCGACCAACTCGTAGATGTAACGGCACATCATCAACCCATGAGCTTCTTGGACACCTACAGAGGTTATCACCAAATTGCCATGCATCCGGAGGATCAGGAAAAGACTGCATTCCTCACCCCAAGGGGAACCTATTGTTACAAGGTCATGCCCTTTGGGCTGAATAATGCGGGGGCAACTTACCAGAGACTGGTTACCACTATGTTCAAGGAACAGCTCGGCCGCACAATGGAAGTATACATCGATGACATGGTGATGAAATCCAAGGAAAAGGATGCCCATCTAGCCAATTTAGCAGAGACCTTCGGCATTCTACGAAAGTACAAAATGAAATTGAACGCCTCGAAATGTGCATTTGGCATTGGATCTGGAAATTTTCTCGGCTATATTGTCAACCATCGCGGAATAAAGGCCAACCCGAAGCAAATCACAGCAATTCTAAAACTCGGCTCCTCTCCATCGGTCAAACAAGTTCAGAAGTTGATGGGAATGGCCGCCGCCCTCAACAAGTTTATCAGTCGTTCCTCAGATCACTGCCGACAATTCTTTCACACATTTCGGCAGGGCAAAGCATTTGAATGGACCCCCGAGTGCCAGGCCGCGCTAGATGGCTTGAAAACTTATCTCTGATCAGAACCACTCTTGGCAACTCCATCAGCAGGCGATCCGCTCATTTTGTATCTGGCGGTATCCGATCGGGCGGTCAGTGTCGTGCTATTAAGGGAAGAACTCAAGGAGTAACGACCAATTTACTATGTAAGCAAGGCAATCGAAACGCGATATCTACCACTAAAAAAGCTCATCCTTGCTCTCGTGATGGCTGCAAGAAAGTTGATGCATTATTTCCAGGCTCACACTATAGGGGCACTAATGGACTATCCCCTTCGATCAGCGCTCCGTAGTGCGGAAGCATCAGGGTGAGTTTCGAAATGGGCTTTGGAACTCGGCCAGTATGATATCCAGTTTTTGCCTAGAACTGCCATCAAGGGGCAAGTGCTCGTTGACTTTGTAGCTGAATTCACGGGATGCCATGCCGACTTCAAGTCCGATCAAGTGCAACCTAAACCCAACTGGCAAATATATGTTGGAGACATTTGGCAGATGTACTGTGATGGATCATCCAACCAAAGTAACAGCGGGGCAGATGTAGTGATAATGACCCTCGAAGAGGCAATAATCGAACATGCAGTCAAACTGGGATTTGATGCATCGAATAATGAGGCCGAATTCGAAGCATTGCTAACCAGCCTTCGTAATGCACTTCACCTTGGTGCACGACGGTTGTTTGTTTTCTGTGACTCGAAATTAGTTATCAACTAGTTGAAATGCGAGTATGCAGCTAAAACTGACAGCATGGCGGCCTACATGAAAATGGCAAATTCCTTGCTCAAGAAATTCGACCACCAAGAATTGAATCAGATAACCCGGGATCAGAACACTCACGTGGATGCCCTTGCTTGCCTAGCCTCCACCATTAACTCAGAAGCCAAACGAACAATCAAAGTAGGGTTCATCCTAGAGCTGAGCATCACCTCTTCTGAACCAGTTCAGATTTACATCCTTGAACTAGGACCAAGTTGGATGGACCCTATTGTTGCATTCCTTTCCTCAGAATAGCTCCCAACGGATAAAAAAGAAGCCCACAAATTGCAAAATAAAGCCCTGCGATACTATCTGGATCCGCAGGGAAAGCTTTACAAAAAATCTCTCTCTAGGCTGTACTTGAAATGTGTTCACCCAGATAAAGTTGAGGAACTCTTGGCCGAAATACATAAAGGTAGCTGTGGCGCCCATTCTGGAGGACGCTCATTGCCCCACCGAGCCGAAACACAAGGGTATTGTTGGCAGACCATACGAATAGATGCCGAGAACTACGTAATGAAGTGCGAACAATGCCAAAAGTTTTCCCCTTTAACTCATCTGTCTGCCGAAGAACTAAACTTTATTTCTAGTCCTTGGTCATTCGCTCAACGAGGACTTGACATCGTCGGACCATTACCATGGGCTCCAGGGAACAACCGATTCCTGATCATCTCAACAGATTAATTTACAAAGTGGTTCAAAGCAGAGGTGTTAACACACATTCGAGATGTCGATGTTAAACGTTTTGTATGGAAGAACATCATAACACGATTCGGCATACCGAGAGCACTTGTCTCCGATAATGGCACTCAATTCGATTGTGGCGTCTATCGGGAATTATGCAACACTTATGGTATCCGGCCCTACTTTTCCTAGCCGACATACCTACAAAGCAACGATCAGGCGGAGGCTTCCAATAAAGTGATCCTGGACGGCATCATGAAACGGTTGGAAAAAGCCCAAGGCAGGTCGGTCGAAGAATTGCCCAGTGTGTTATGGGCTCATCGCACTACTCCAAGACGATTTACAGGGGAAACGCTGTTCGTCTTGTGCTTTGGAACACAGGTAATTATCCCCCTTGAGATTGGCCTACCAATGCTAAAATCCAAGGTTTTTGACATGGGTTGTAATGACATGATGTTGGCCTTAGATCTGACACTGATTGAAGAACGCCGAGATCATGCCCTTGCATGCATGGCGTGGTATCAGCAACAGCTCACCAAGTCATACAACCAGCGCGTACAGTTGCGTCGTTATACACCTGGTGAATTGGTCCCCAAGAAAGTGCTTCCTACTACTAAGAATCCAGCAAACGGTAAATTAGGCCCCAACTGGGACGACCCTTATTAGATTGATTCAATTGCCAGAATAGAGGCGTATCGACTTTAAGACATGGCTTGCAGAAGTTTTCCATGCCCCTGGAATTTCACATATTTGCGTAAATTTTATCATTAAGCCAACTTATATGGCGTGCTAGTTTGTTTCTAATTTTTGTTGTTATGTTAATGTAATGTGTACACATCTACAAATTCCACAATGCAATGCCCATTTTTATTATCATCTCGTTAATAATGGTTAAATAAGCCTTTGAATTTGGAGCGCCCTTCGTGGATATCATGATTGGCCAATACAAAGACTCCGAATTCAGAGCGCTTTCGTGGATATCACGTTTGGACCGAACAAGCCTCCGAATTCAGAGCGCTATTTGTGGATATCACATTTGGGCCAAATAAGCCTCTGAATTCAAAGCGCCCTTCGTGGATATCACGATTGGCCCATACAAAGACTCTGAATTCGGAGCGCCCTTCGTGGATATCACATTTGGGCCGAATAAGCCTCTGAATTCGAAGCACCCTTCGTGGATATCACGGTTGGCCCATACAAAGACTCCGAATTCGGAGCGTCCTTCGTGGATATCGCGTTTGGGTCGAATAAGCCTCCGAATTCGGAGCTCCCTTCGTGGATATCACGTTTGGACTGAATAAGCCTCCGAATTCGGAGCGCCCTTCATGGATATCACGATTGGCCAATACAAAGACTCCGAATTCGGAGTGCCCTTCGTGGATATCACGATTGGCCAATACAAAGACTCCGAATTCGAAGCGCCCATCGTGGCTATCACGATTGGCCAATACAAAGACTCCGAATTCGGAGCGCCTTTTGTGGATATCACGATTGGCCCATACAAAGACTCCGAATTCGGAGCGCCCTTCGTGGATATCACGTTTAGGCCGAATAAGCCTCTGAATTTGGAGCGCCCTTCATGGATATCACGATTGGCCAAAAGAAAGATTCTGAATTCAGAGCGCCCTTCGTGGATATCACGATTGGCCAATACAACGACTCTGAATTCGGAGTGCCCTTCGTGGGTATCCCGATTGGCCTATACAAAGACTCTGAATTCGGAGCGCATTTTGTGGATAACACGTTTGGACCGAATAAGCCTCCGAATTCGGAGCGCCCTTCGTGGATATCACGATTGGTCAATACAAAGACTCCGAATTCAGAGCGCCTTTCATGGATATTACGATTGACTAATACAAAGACTCTGAATTTCGAGCATCCTTCGTAGATATCACGTTTGGGCCGAACATGTCTCCGAATTCGGAGCGCCCTTCGTGGATATCACGTTTGGGCCAAATAAGCCTTCGAATTCGGAGCGCCCTTCGTGGATGTCACGATTGGTCAATATAAAGCCTTCGAATTCGGAGCGCCTTTCGTGAATATCACAATTGGCACATACAAAGAATCTGAATTTGGAGCACCCTTCGTGGATATCATGTTTGGGCTGAATAAGCCTCTGAATTCGGAGTGCCCTTTGTGGATATCACAATTGGCCCATATAAAGACTTCGAATTCGGAGCGCCCTTTGTGGATATCACGTTTGGGCCGAATAAGCCTTCGAATTTGGAGCGCCCTTTGTGGATATCATGATTGGCCAATACAAAGACTCTGAATTCAAATCGCCCTTTGTGGATATCACGTTTGGGCCAAATAAGCCTCCAAATTCGGAGCGCCCTCCATAGATATCACGATTGGCCCATACAAAGACTCTAAATTTTGAAGGCCCTTTGTATTTGGCAATGGAACAGCATGAA